GGGGGGGGGGGGCAGTGGGCAGTGGCTCATGCACGGACATGGTGCTGACTGCCGGTCCCATGGAAAGTAGGGAGTTTCTAGCTCAGTTAATCCGTAACGCGCTGCACGCTGCTGTTCCCGTTTGCCTGGGTAGATCATTAACGAGCACAATGAGCCGGTCTGTTTTGTGAGCTCCCCCCCCCCTTTCCGGGCACTGAAGTGACACTCACCTTTTTTGTTTAGCTTTCTATGTCAGGTTACTCACCCCCTCGATAGATGTGTGATCCTGTGAGTTATGGCGGTGAACATGGCTTATAGTACCTTTGTTTTTTTTTTGCTGGTGTAGAACAAGGTCTTCCCTCCTCTATAGAAGAATTTTGGGGAAAATAAAACATGGATCAGTTGGGAGCACGTTCTCCTTGAGTGACGTGGCCGCTTCGAGCTGCTTCCTGTCTTAATTTCATACAGTTACAGAACAGACTCATCATGTCAACAAAGCTCTGAGTTTTAACCCCAAAGTTCTCCACTGACATCCTGCTGACGGAAGGGCTGTAAGTGCATCTCCGTGACGACGGGACTGGCCTTGATGCATGCATCCCTCTCCCCGTATCAGTATTGCACCCCAACCCTACACCTGAGACACGCCGATCACCAGTCTGCCTATACAGTTTCACTTGTTTCACCCGTCATGGAGAAACGTGCCGGCTTCGTGCATCGCCCAGGCTCAAGCGGCTGTTGGCATTGTCCACCGCCGCTTCCTTCTCCTGCTGTCTTATCTGCTCCCATCTCCCGCACTCCGGATGTGACAAAGGCTGGGTGAACGGCGCTCTGAAAGGGGAGGCAGGGAGCAGAGGACACAGAGACCGCCAGCGGCCATCTACCTGGCCGCCGCACAAAGAGTGTTCTGTGCCGGTGTCCAGCGAGTGGACGCATCCGCCTGACCAGAAGGCTGGTGTCTGGGGTTGGGTTTCTCCAGGTCCCACTGCGAGGGTCACTGTTCCCAACCGGGCCGGTAGAATAATGGCTTTGCATGTAGCTATGTAGGCAAAAGAGAGGGAGACAGAGAGAGAGAGAGAGTGGTGTGCATCGCTTCACTTCACTCGTCACCGAAGTTAGGTAAGTTTCCCACTGAATCTAGAATTAGCCAACAGCTATATAAGGAGGGTGATTAAATTATAGTGTTGTGCTAAAATAGCGAAAAGTATCCGTACTTCTAAGTGCTGCCGGATTCTCCGGCACAGCGGTCCGGATGCCCTCGTGCTCTGTACTCCCGTGCAAACACGTATGCGATCTCGTGATCATGTGTTCTTCGGTGTGATTCATGGGGTCCAGCGCCTGGGTGATCCTCCGAGGTGCATTTCGTCTGGCTTCAGGGCCACGGGATGGCCGGACCAAACCATTCAGAATGAAGGCACGATTGGTCCCGTCCGGCTGGGCGAGGCTGTCCTGCAGACGGCTTTTGAATTTAATGCTGAGCTAGTCGGCACTTTTGTAACTAAAAGGTGTGTGTGTGTGTGTGTGTGTGTATCGGTCATTTAATGTCTACAGCTTCAGTCGCTATCGTCCGTGTTCATTGGTTTATCTGGCACTCTGTACTTACCCTGGTCTTTTCTGACAAATTCCTATTGTATATTTTTATTGTTTTGCTCCAGATGACATTACTCACTGACAGGAATTAGTGACACATTGTGGTAACGCGCACTATCAGCTCAAAAATGACCTGCAAACTTGGACAGAGGGAGAGGTCACAGGGGTCAAAGGCCGCATTGACACATTCAGAGTTTGCTGACATGGTTGATGCATCGTTTGTTTACCTTCCTCGCCCGTCTCCCCCAGCTGTGACAGTCCCCGCGCTACACGCATGGTAATACGTAGCAAATCTGCTAATTATCTGGGACTGTCATGTCCACTCAGCAGTGCCTTTGGGGGGCGCTGTCTGGGCTGCCCTTCCCTGCCGCTGCCATTCCACTAGTTTCTGGTCCACGGTACTTGTTGTCTCGCCTGTCTACTTGTGTGCTGTCATCTTAATCCGCTTTCTATATTGTTTCTACTGCTTTTGCCTGTTTTTGTTTTCTGTTCTGTTTCGCTTTCCCCTCTTCCTGGCCCCTCCAAACACACAGAGTCCTCTTCAGCTTGGCTTTGTTTGTTTTCTCACCAATTGATTTTTTTTTTACTTTTCTGCATCAAAAGCTGCCTGCTCTTCTGTTTTCTCCCCTTTTCTTCCTCTCTTATTGCCTCTGTTTCGCTCCCCCTCTCCTCTCCTGCACTCCTGCCTCTCCTTTTCTTTGTCCCCTGCCAGGTTTTCTTCATCTCTCACTTCTCTGCTTCAGACCTAACTCTTGTCTCAGAGAGGCGGTGAGGTAGAGGTAGTGAAGGAGAGCTTCAGCAGTGCAGGGTTCAGGCTGGGGCTTCAGCAGTGCAGGCTGGGACAGGCCAGCTGGAATTCCTGCCATGCCATAGTAATCAGGCATTGGCTCTCACGTGTGTGTGCATGTGTGCGTGTGTGTGTTTTCTGCTTTGTTTGAATACAGCTTGAGAAAATGTCCCCAGATCACATCATCTGGAAAATAGCTGTGTGAGAAAATCACCATAAAACAAGCATCCTTCAGCTTTCTCCACTTTTTTTTTCTCCAGTAACTTAAATTACTAAGTTTGCAAATTTTGTAGAATTGGAGTCGACTGGGACGTTTGGTTCACCTGAGTGTCAGTGGGAAGATGGACAATGGAGCGTGCGATAGGGAGGGTGTCGGAGTCATAGTCAGCTTTATTAATTCGCACTTGCACAGCCAGATGAGGTAGCAGGCTCTCCTAGTGCAAGAACGGCACAAAGTGATAGTGTTAAAAAGAGCCTAGAATAAATAGCATGTAGTGTGACAGTGTCTCTAGCACGGCGTCGTACATTCTGTGCCATAGATATTTAACACCAGCATTTTTTTTTTCCTTTGGAGTTCATTCTGATTTTTGCCTGTTGTGTACCGATGTCTGTTTTTGCTGGAGAAATTGGCTTTAATCTCCTTCCTCAGGGGTCCAGCAGGCGGGTGGGATCCGAGAGCGGTGGCCCGCGAGTGCTGGGGTGTGTGGCTGCGTGTCTGACCTTCCCCCTCCCACAGGATCCAGCATGTCGGCAGAAAACTTCGCAGCTGCCAGCAGCGATGCCCAGCAGAGCTTGCAGTCCTTCTGGCCTCGCGTGATGGACGAGATCCGAAACCTCACTGTGGTGCGTTCCTCTAGCGCTCTGTGGCACTCACGGGGCCGGCTGTCCTGGGGTGGGATGCTTTTGTCACCTGGCTTCACCCCCCATCATCAAAGCACTGCTGCATCATTCTGGGGTCTGTATCACGAAGTTAGCAAGATAACTTGTTGGATTTATCTTGACTTACATTTAGCCCAGACTACCTTAAATCCAACAAGTTAAGGTAGTCTGGGCTAAATGTAAGTCAATGAAGATAAAGTGCACTTAAAGTGGGGTCCCTTAAGTCTGACAAGTTATCTAGCTAGCCAACAAATCTCACATTGTGATACAGGCCCCCATGGTTCCCTTCTACACACACACAGACACACAGAGACACACAAACAAACGCTGAATTTCAGGAGTGTACCCAAGCAGCCCATCGGCTGCTCTGAGCTCGTTTGATAGGGTTTGACTTCCTCTGGGAACATGGCGTCCTGCTCTAGGGCCTAACGGCCTTTCCCGCGGACCACAGTGCCACAGTCCCACAATCCCTGCTGGGCTGAGATTCAGCACGGCAGCCAGCTGCCAGATCATCCCTTCAAGCTAATTAACTCTTATGTCAATGAGTTAAGTCATATGATTGGTAGTAGACTATTATCTTCCTTTGATGACCACAAATACGTACTTTCATTTTCATCCTCATCTGCAACTCCTTAATTTGCCTGTGTGTGCTTTAGTGTGGTGTAGCAGGAAGGTGCCCAGATCTGTGGGCTCCAGTAGGGGGTCGGAGCAGCACACGTCGCTCTGTGTGCGTTTGGTTTTAACTTGGTGCGAGTGTGTGCGCATGTGAGACGCTCCCTTACCACCGCACCCCTGTCTTCCAGAAGGATTTCCGTGTCCAGGAGCTGCCTCTCGCCCGCATCAAGAAGATCATGAAGCTGGATGAGGATGTGAAGGTGGAGGCAATGGCCTGCAGGGGGTGCGGGGGGGGGGGGGGGGGGGGGGGTCACTGGAGTCCGTCTATGGGCGGCACAGTTTTTCTGTGCCAGTCGATAAAGGACGTTGATTATATTTCCTAAATCCATCCAGCCACAGGCCGACCGGGCTTTCCCGGCAGCTGGAATAACCTGTAAATCGGCGGGGCCGTTACGGTCACACAGCTTTCCGGCTTGTAGGATGGGGCGGCGTGGGGGTGTTTTCCCTGGCTGGGAACCCCCCGGCCTGCCAGCCTGGGAGTCAGGTCCCCAGCATTACAGGGTATACTAGAGTAGGGTATACCAGAATAGGGTATACCCATCGTCAAGACATCCCAAAATAACCACCATCTTAAGCAGAACTGGGACTGTACTGTCCAGCCTGGGACTGTGAGGTAATTAAGGGCTTGGGGGGGTGGCGGCAGACTGTGTGTGTGTGTGTGTGTGTGTGT